CTATTTATTTCTAGAAACAAACAAAAAAGAAGGGATTTCTTTTATGAGTAAGGCTGCATTACTAAACAAATATATAGATTAGAGAAAATGATTTAGCAATAATCATTGTCTAAGAAAATATTTCAATTATTTGGATATTATGCGTAAAATTCATAGCAGATACCTTGAGAATAATTATTTTCCGGAATAGTTCTTTTCTTTTGGTAAATATTGTGATCTGTCCATAATAATCATGGTTCAGCCTTTGTCTGCTAGTATGATGATGATAGTCTGATCCTTTTTTAGATTTCTGAGGGCTGCTCTACGGTGAGTTGATTTTGTTCTCGTCTTCTTCTGGCCTGTGAAATGATGATTTGTCTGATGTTTTCTTAGACCTTTGGAGGAAGTCCAGTAGTTTTAAATGCTCCTTCTAAGGCTGCAAAGAATTCTGGGTGATTGGCATCATCTGCGTTATAGTTGAGGCCTTTCTGAAATGAATGGTTAGAAGTGGAAGACACCTGTATTTCTATCCTTGTACTCCCATAGAACAATCAATAACTATTTTTATTTGAAAGAAAGTATCTCCACATTCTTTTTACACTAGTTTCGAAAAAGCATATTTGCTTTTTGAATTTGGCAGTGTTATTAGCCAGTCTTGCAGCAGATGCCGATTAATGATAAATACAGTGCTGTTGTTCCTTGTCTCTCTGTATGATCTGAAACTACAGTGTTTCAGAGTAGCCGTTGTATGTTTCCTCCTCTGTGTGTGTGCGCTTGTGTATATGTATGTATGTGTTTAATAAAACAGGTACAGAATCTTGTTCATTCTTGTGAACAATATATTATATAGTTAATTCTTAAGTGAGTTTGTGGATCATGGCAAATGCCTTGTAATATCATGTGAGGGGGATTTATGGCCTTGAGTCAGAAAGCTGACCTAGTTTCCCATCTTGAAAATAAATGTTCAGTACATGCCACCAGCCCCTTTTCCTCAGTTGCTTGACCATATCCAATTACTTTGACAGATGTACTTCTTTCATCCTAATCATTTGACACAATTAGTAAACACAAACTAGGATGCTGTTATAACCAGAGGACAGATCTGTGGTATTATTCTGCAACAGCCAACAAAATTCCATTTTATTCTTCATTGAGAATCTAATAAATAATGAGTGTTCTAGTATCATTTACAAAAACCCTAGCAATAATTGAGAATTACAACTCATTTCATAAAAATAAAAGATAAGAGTTCCTAACAATAGCTGTGAAATTCATCCCACGCTTGTTATACATTACATAATCTCTCCTAAAATATTATTTTTTTATAATTGAGAAAATTAACTGAATTTTTTGCTAAAAAGCAATATGTCACCGATTTTTATCAGGAATTATTTAGTTTAAACAGTTTAACTTTTTAAATAATGAATAGTAAAAAAAAAAAACCTGTTAAGCTACCATTAAAGGAAGAAAAATCCCAACTCATTTTCACATAGTATTCAAGTTTCTTCTTTCTTATATTTTTACATTTCTTTAATATTCTCTGTTTTTATATTTCAGTACTATTTCCAGGAATTTAGGAAGCCAGTTTTTTTTCAGTTCCCATTTACATTCAGAATGTAATGCATTATAAACATTCCTGGAAACAGATGGTAGTGTATTAGATTAGATGAAATCAATTTATTTAAATTTAGGTCTGCTGTATCGGTGGCTAACACAAAACCATTTGTGCATTTAATTTAATTTAATTTAATTTAATGTAATTTAATTTTACAAAGGAAAGTCTAAGGAAGCAGGAATCATCCTTCTCCTCAGTTAATTTTCTAAGGAAGTGATGTACAACTTCTACTTGGTGGAGAATTTGAATGGTCTTTCCCTGACATATCTAGAGCCGGACAGTACCGATCCTCAACCAACCACACAAATCCCATCACCACCAGCAGTTCACCTCCCAATGACCCTGACTTGATATAATCTCTTTATCACAAGACCCATCACAAGATTCACTGATGACTCAGAGCTGACCCTTCACAAGATCCTCACTTGACAACCCACACCTGAAACCCTTATAAACAAAATATTATAAACAGAAGAACACTGACATCCCCTAAACTCTGCTGAAGATGTTACCTAGCCTGGGAATGAAATGTTCAGAAACCAGCCCACAAGCTCGGAGAATGAACCTTCACCCTCATCCTACACATCCTGAGCTCCAGATATTTGCCACTATTGCAAATATCTAGAATCACCCACCTAAAATGAGTGAGGCCACGCTACTAAATAGATATAATGAGAGATAGCCAAATGATTAAAGGCTTAAAAGTTCTGCTTATGTTTCTTAAAATCCACTCCCCTTTCCTTATTTGTTTGGGCTTTTTTGTTTATGTTTTGTTCTGTGTATTCCAAAAGGGATTCTGGGAGCCATAGCAGGAAATGAACACTAGTTATGATGTATAACTACCCTAAGCTTGTAGTTCCCAATCCTTTCAGGTTTGTAGTTCCCAAAATTTGTTAAAATTGCTATGACAATGAATATGCTTTTACAAAAGGAGAACTTGTAATCATAAAGTACCTATCAACAAGGTATGTATGTATGTATGTATATGTATGTATATAACAATTTAGTAGATATTTAAAAAGCATGAATCAGGAACTGAACAGATACTTAAAGCAATTGCCCCTGCTCTTGAAGCATTTATGCTTAGCTAATTATGATGTAAGGGTCAAATTATGTTATTTGAAATAATTCAAATAACTTTTTATTCAAACTAACATGCAAAATGAATGAACTTCTGTTTTATTCATAATTTACTACAATGGTAACTATAAGAAATTAATGAAAAATTTGTTAATTAGTTTTAACAAATTGTTAATCTTTAAGAAATTCTTTTAAATAGAGATATCTTGTTTCAGTAACCTGCTTATATGCATATTTAAAATTGTATATACATATTTAAAGATACATGCAAGGCTGTATTTTCATCATCTGTTTGTTAAAGTTTAATGTAAATAGTGATTATTGGGTTTTGTGATACATCATTTTCACAGGGCCTTTGGGTTTGTGTGCCTCTGTGTCCGTGTGCTCCATGTTGACCTGTGTTTTTCTGTGAGGCAGGACTGTAGAGAGGGAACAATAATGTCATCCTGCTTCCGTGGTAGAATTAACTCTGATTTCAGCATTGGTTTTCCTGATAGTTTCGCTGAAAATCACATTATAGCATTACTGTTAGAAGGGCAACTTGTACTGAGGTGATGTTTGATTTGTTTGTTTGTTTGTTTGTATCCCATCTTTATTATTTTACAAATAACTCATATACAATATAACCAACACACCATCTTCCTATTTTCTTCACAACAACAACCCTGGGAGATGGGTTGGGCTGAGAGAAAAACGTTGCAAAACGTCACATGACGGCAACATGACACGGCGAGTTTGACAACTGTGCACTAGACCAAGCTCTCTCTATGATAAATCCTTGGACTTTGCAAATTGAAGAAGACATAGGCAGATTTTTAGATTGGTTTTGCGAGAAAACAACTAAGCTCAGAGCATCAAAGAGCATGCAAATTCAAAATCATAATTTGGTCTTCATTATTCCAAATCCCATCCATTTAGATATATCACTTGGTTAATTTTAGTTTAATTTGAATACAATAAATTAATAAGTGCTTTAAAGTCATTGCATATAAAACAGCATTTGGAAAAGTATTTACATATTGCTTCTAAAGCTAATTAAGCCTTTAAGTTGGAAGACTACGCATGTTTTTTTATCCTCATAAGAAAAAGACTGCCTCTAAGTTCTATACCTTAATTTTATTTGCAGATACTATTAATTTATAAAAGAAAAGTAAATAAAATGATAATCATAATGTTTTGGGACAAAGATTACTGATAGTGTAATGCCAAAGAAACACACGTATGAACTCCAGAAATAATTCCTTAGGAAGGTCTGAGCAGTTAGTACCAATAATGAAATTTATAGGATGGTTAAATAACATAAAATAAATATTTAAAAGTATGTATATTTTTAATTGCATTTGAAAAAAAAATTAAAATATAGCTGAGGAGAAGGAAAAGAGTGGATGAAGTGGAAATGATATAGTCTGATCTGGACAGTAAATTAAATAATCTTGGTAAAGATATCGATTGGAAAAATTCTTCTGAAAAATTAAGTGATATTGTAGTAAGAAGCTGTCACATGCTAAACCAAACTGTAGCAATCTCTCTAAATACAGTTCTTTTAGTTTTGGTCTTCAGAATTTTAGCAAAAGTGTTTCCTATTCCTATTACAGATTTCTATATGTTTGGTAATGAAATAAAGATCTCAGTCATGCACAGCCGAGGACCACCTGCAGCCCCTAAATAGCTTGCACACAAAATTGTCACAAAATTGTAGTTTTTAATGTGATAGCTTACTAATTACCTTCTGAGTAACCATGTTACTATATTTATTCGTTAATTGGTTTTAAATATAAATGAAATTAGGAGGCACAATTTTTTTTCACTCATGCCTACTTTTTTCTCCTGGTCGCAATATTTTTTGCTGTCAATTAAGCTGCCTGAAGTCATCTAATGGTGAGATGGCCGGTGTAGAAATTTAATAAAAAAATATAAAATAAATAAATGCATAAATTAAGCAGGAAAGGAAAAGTATAGTCTTTGGATCAGAAAAGAATGTATTCCTACCAAGAGCCAACTGATTTAACAGGCTTAAATTGGATACAGATGTCCATAATCTATTAGAAATGACCCTCACGGGCTTTGCTTTCTATACTATAATAAGTAATAATACTAATGTTTCTCATTTTTATTTAATCTATTCTGCAATATTGGTAGGAACATAAATACAACTATGAATATCTTCTTCATCGCCTTTATCCTTCTAGTGTTTTCCTGCAGGTGCAGAATCTGCTTTTCAGATCAACTAATGCTGCTCTGCATGATCAAACACAGCAAATATTCTCAATATATATATATATATATTTATTTATTTATATTCTTTTCTTTCATCTCTCCACTGCAGTTATTCCTGACTCCCTACGAGTAACTTCGGAAACCCAGACTCTAAAGAAGGTACAACATGATTCTCTGGAGTTAAAGTGTGAGATTACCAAGAATACTGAACAGCACAGCCACATTTCCATTGCCTGGTATCGTCAGAAAGTAGATGAGCCTCTTGTGGAAGTTATTTCTCTCAGCAAAGACTTTGTACTGCGTGCAGGAAGTGAATACACCCAACGCCATGCAAGTGGAGATGTCCGTCTTGATAAAGTGGGCGAGACTCAATCTAAGCTTACTATCTACAATCTTCAGTCCTCTGATGAAGGCGAGTTTTATTGTGAAGCAGCTGAATGGATTCAGGACCCTGATGGCACTTGGTACGCTGTGACACGCAAGCAGTCGGAGAGCACTATGGTCTATGTGGAAGGAACTGGTTAGTGTGCCAATTTCTTTTTACCTCTCTCACAGCATGTACTCTCATGATTTCGGTTTTGGCATCAGGGGATTCAAGATAGACAAAATAATTTTATTAGAACGAGCTTCAGAGATTTTGCCTCCTTCCATTATGTTGACCACTATATCGCTACCAAAAGCTTTTGAGGGCTGTTTCATAAAGCAGTGGTTGGAAACATAAAACCTATACATATTTTAAAATTTTAAATGAATCTCATATGATTACAAAGTCTCATAAATTTTGATTCTCCCCTCCCCAGATTCTCACAAGAATATTAGTGACAATGCCTAAATCTAATGAGATTTAGCAATCTCTCAAAATGTATGTACATGTATATGATTGTATATATATATGTGTGTATGTATATATAGCAACTGCTGTACTTTTAACATTTGGACTACAACTTAATAGTTCCAAATTTCACTTTTTAAATACATCATTGATTGATTGATTGATTGATTGATAAATCATTTAGTTAGCAGATGCAGGTGAAAACTTGAAACCAAATCCGACATTCTTATACTGGTATAGAATGATTTATCTTAATTGTTAGTGCGTCAAATAATCTGTTCTTTCATTGTTCCATTATTTACAGATTTGATGATTTAGTTTATCTGGGATGTGTTTAAAAGTCTTTATCATATGGCTATTGGTTCCTTTCTTTCAAAAAAAAAGTAATTTGAGCAACTGTTGACAAGGAAGATGTTCATATGAGTGAATATAGCAAAATAATAGCCCTTCTATTGTTCTTCTCTCCATAATTGCCAATATAGAATTGAATCCTTGCTTTGACAGTGGCTTTAGCTACAGCAGTGTTTCCCAAACTTGGCTATTTTAAGATGTATGGACTTCAACTCCCAGAATTCCTCAACCAGGCATACTGGTTGGGGAATTCTGGGAATTGAAGTCCATGCATCTTAAAATAGCCAAGTTTGGGAAACACTGACTACAGCATCAACGTGTGAATTTAATTTAACCTCTCGGTGTTGTATGTATATCAAGGTGGTTAAAATATTTTTCATTTTATAAGCTATAAGCCAGAGTTTAGTTACAGTACTCCTAGTCTCCTCAGTACTGTCTTTATAGTATTCTTTTGTTCTCTTTCCCTTTTATTTTGTTCTTCTCCTGACTTTCGTTTTGTTCTCTTTGTAACTGGAATTTCACATCTTCACATTTCACCTAAACTAATTCCTCTCTGGTACTACTTAGAAAAGGAATTCATTTGGCCTTTCATTTCTACAATATTATTGTATCACCATCTGGTCAGAAGCCCCTTAGAAATTTCTGTGAGCGTTACTGTTGGGAAGAAGTTTATTTTTACATTTTTTTATATCCAAAAAATACTCTTCAGCTAAAGGTGTTCTAGCACTAAAATGATTAGCAAGAATGCTATAAGAGATTTTGTTTGACTGAAAAAAAAATGTAGTTCTTTAGAGAAAGTTTTATAGAAAATGATTTGGCAGTGCAAGTATATATAAACCTGACTAGTGTGAATATGTTATATCAAGGATAAAAACATTATTTTTGATTTATAGTAAAATCAGAATACAACTTGATTCTTCAAATGTTTTGGATTATAACTTCCACAATTTCTTAATAATTGGTTGGGTGATGACCTAGTCCTAGCCCAATACTGGGTTCATTTTACCCAGCACAATTTGAGCCAGTTATCATTCTGAGAGAAAAATTGGGGTTCAACGCTATTTCTATTAGAAATAGAGACTATTTCTAATAGAAATAGATGCTTGGGATCTATTTCTGCTTGTGCAGAAATAATGCTTGGGATCCAAGTTCAAATCAAGCAAGTTTGCTGATACTTAACAAGCTGTTTTATACCATTAAACCATATACTGTATGCACATTATAATTTCCTGATAGTTCATCATTTGTTCTTGATTTATTGAAGACTTGAACAATTTAGGCTAATAGTCCATAATAAGCAGCAGGAGGAATTACTTAGCTATGCTCTCTAGTTCTGAGTGTGTTTTTTAACACATTAGTGATGAGCTTTTTACCTTTGCACTTTCACCTGGGCATTCTTGACCACAGCTTAAGCTAAATGCCATTTTACCTTCCTTGTTCCAGTAATCAGCTCACTCGCAAAAATTACAAAAATTGCAGCAATTACAAAGCCACAGTGGTCAGCTACACTAACATTTCTTTTAACTGGAGCATTTCTTTAGCTTCCTCTGGTAAGTGTCAAAGTAGGTGTTAGCTAACTGCTGATTTGATATAACAATGGCTATATTAAGTAAAAGCAAAGAGAGTGTTTAAGATGGACTAACTCTGGTTGATGCTAATTCATGATGCTTGCAAAAGCCCTTTAATAGTTTGCTAGCAGGTTTATAGCGTAGGACCTCAGGAGCTAATTGCTATTGGAATCCAAAACATCTGATAAGCCTCAGGTTCCTCATCATGTTACAAAATATACTGCCTTGCTTTAGGCCAGGGTATTTAAATTTATGTTCACAGTTTATGAAAACCTACAAAATGGGGAGTATTATTTACTGTACATTGGACATACACCTTTTTTTTTCCCTTTAAATTAATCCCAGCTTCTATATATTAAAGGTTTCATAAAAAAAATTCTGATTGTTTTTCATATAAATGAAAATACCTTAATATTCATATAAAATGTTCATTACTCTTTTCAGTGCCTTTACTAAGCTATGTTTTACCCTCTGTTGCTGTTGTCCTATGTTGTGGTCCTTTTTGAATGGTGATGTCCTCTTTTTGGCCCATCAGTCAGTAGTTTTGGTAGGAATTGTTTATTTAGAATAAAAGAATTACAGCAGTTGTTTCTAGTCTTTTGATGTATTTAGTACATAAATTCATACAAACTGTTTACTTATGTAACAAGCCAAAATTTTGAAGTAGAGAACATTGCTTATAAAAGCTCTTTTAAAATAGTATACAATTCAATTCTTGAATTGATATAATCTAAATTGGTATAGTTCTTCAATCCGTTAGCATGAAAGTAGCTAGCAAATGATTATTTTGCAGAAAATTAGTATCTAATTGCACCACGTATATAGTTTTTGTGCTTTCCTATACATAAGAAAGATGTAAGAAAAAACAAAAACATAGCTTTTGGAGATGAAGTTAAAATACAGGAAGAGACACAATTGTTAATACACATAGTATGTTCAAAACAATTCTCAAATAATAATTTCTTAACATTATCTAAGCTTGTTAGCTCTTTCATGTTTGTATAGGGCTGTGACACAGTTTCATTGGTTTGTATGTGTGTATGTGTACGTATTGTTTGTTCTGTTTCTTTTAGATATGGATATCAACGTTCGACTAGAAACAGAGAAGCGGACATACATAGTGGGTGAACCTGTGGAGTTTAGATGCATTTTGGAAGTACAAAATGTTGCAAAGAGGTATTTCTCCATCTCTTGGGCCTTTAATAGTTCTCTCATTGCTACTTTTGGTGCTAATGCTGTGCCAGTCCTTAACAATGAGTTTGCCCAGAGAGAAGCCTTGGGACAACTGAAAGTGGCCAAAGAGAGTGACAGCATCTATATCCTAAAAATCTACCGACTCCGATTGGAAGACAGCGGCAAATATAACTGTCGAGTGACAGAGCGGTTGAAGACGACAACTGGTGAATTTATTGATGGAGAAAGCAAACGGCCAAAGAACACACCTATTACAGTGCTGCCCCTTAGTAAGCATAAATCTTCTTTGCTCCTATTGATTGTGTGGGTTTCTGGGACCTGGGCAGGTTTATGATGATTATGACACAAGCAGCTAATTGGCTGATTTCTTTGCTTCTGTTGAGAACAGTTTGTAGAGCATCTTAGATTCATTTAACTGAAAAAAAATGTATATGCCACTTTGCCCACAAAACTCCAAGCATTTTATAGCAAATAAATTCATAAATCAGGTAGACATCGCTTAGGAACCACACATTCAGTAACCATTTAAAGGTTACCCATGGCTGTGAATGAGAAGACTTATGGCTAGTCTTTAAAGTTGTAACTATCGCAGTATCCCTACAGTCAGGTAATCACAATTTGGATACTTGGCACCTGGTGTGCAATTATAACAGTCACAGCATCCTGCAGTTACAAGATTGCCATTTCTGACTTTCACTACCAGCTTCCCACAAGCAAAGTTAATGGGGAAATCAGCAATGATTAGCATAATGACATAACATTCAGCGTCCATGCATGAATAACAGAATAATAGAGTTGGAAGGGACTTTGCAGGTCTTCTAGTCTAAACCCCTGCTCAAGCATGAAAGCCTAAATGGTTGTCCAAGCTTTTCTTAAAGATCTCTAGTGTTGGAGCACCCACAACTTCTGGAGACAAGTTGTTCCACTGATTATAATTGTTCTATCAGGAATTTTTTCTTTAGTTCTATGTTGGTTCTCTCCTTGATTAATTTCCATCCATTGCTTCTTGTCCTACCTTCAGGTGCTTTGGAGAATAGGTTGACACTCCCCCTCTTCTTTGTGGCAACCCCTTAGATATTGGAATACTGCTGTCATGTCACCTCTAGTCCTTTTCAACCCTATGTCCTTTAAACTAGACATAACCAATTCCTGCAACCATTCTTCATATATTTTAGCCTCCAGCTCCCTAATCATCTTTGTTGCTCTTCTTTGCATTCTTTCTAGAGTCTCAGCATCTTTTTTATATTGTGGCAACCAAAATTGGATGCAATATTCCAAATGTGTTCTTACCAAGGCATTATAAAGTGGTACTAATGATTCCATCCTTCTGTTAATGCAACCTAGAACTGTGTTGGCTTTTTTGGCAGCTGCAGCACACTGCTGGCTCATATTTAAGTGAATGTCCACTAGGACTCCAAGATCCCTCTCACAGGGATCGCTTAACAACCACAACTGGAATTGCCAAACTGCTGTCCTAGGTCAGTGCAGTCACGTGTTTTTTTTTTTCTTTACAATCCCATTGCTTAGCAATGGAGTTGCTGGTCCTAATAATGGTTATTAACTGAGGACTACTTGTATAATAGTACCATCAAATTATATATTTATTTGCAGAGTGATCCATGCTTCAGAAAAAATATTTCAGATTGTAGCATATACTTTAGTACATACAAAAAGTATTTTTGCGCCTGCGTGCTATATTGTTTTTAAAGAACTGAAGACTTATACTGCCCTCCCAAGCAAACATTGGAAGCGAATTAGAATTATCTCAGACTTGTGTAATAATGGAAAAGAGTCATCTGAACTTGTGTAAGTTCCTGGATGCATCTATTGACCCCTGTCTTAGGGTATGTTGGACTTGATGACCTATTGGTCTGGTTAATAAGGTTATTGTATTCTTAAGGTCTTTAGGTTGGGGCTGATTAATTAATTATTTAACTCCCATCTTCCATTCCTTTCACATGTCTCCCGAACTTAATTTCTGAAATATGTATAGAAGAAAGATTCTCTTTGGAACTTGACATAGAACTTGACCTTAAGTCACAAGCATCATATCTTTCTTTGGATCCAAATCAGACTCTTCCTCTGGTTCCTTTTCTGATGCTTTGGCTTTTTTCCCTGATTATAACAAGGAGATTAGTAAATAAAACTAAGTTTGATCTTTTCAGAATTTCAGAGAACTTGAAGGTACAATATGTACTTCCCTGAAAACCTTCTTATATTCCAAAAAACTAGTTCCACGTATTTCAAGTTGATTTGGACTGTCTTATTCTACCAAACTGCTATAGAGATGATATGCATTTTATTTTGCTCCTTTCTCATAACTGATGAAACATTTATAGCAGTAATATAGTATTTCCTTAGTTAACAATGGTATTTGTAAGTTGGTTTCACATACACACACTCTGTCTGTCTGTCCGCCTATCTATCTATCTATCTATCTATCTATCTATCTATCTATCTATCTATCTATCTATCTATCTATCATCCATCCATCCAGCTATCTAGCTAGCTATCTTAAAAATATAGTATCAGTTTTATAGAGATTTAGTATCTACCGTGTTTCCCCGAAAATAAGACTCTGTCTTATATTTTTTTGAACCCTGAAATAAGCGCTTGGCCTTATTGCCATGTGCTCAAAAGCCCAATTGGACTTATTATCAGGGGATGTCTTATTTTGGGGGAAGCAGGGTATATATTCACTGATTTATTCAGTATTTTAAATAATGCTTCCAATTATCACTGTAGTCTGAATCTGTATGTTATATGAATGGAAATTATATCTGATAACTTACACAAGACGGACACAAACATTGACAAGTAAATAAAATGATTAGAATAGAGATAGAATGGTTTTAGAAAATGGTTTGGTTTTTTTTTATTGAAAAATACCACAGAAGCAGTACATACTAATTTCTATCCTATCCCATTCTTTCTGTATTATTCTTAAAAAAGAATAAATTTATACAACAGTGAAAAACAATAACCAGCTTTTGGTATTTTATTTTATTACATATCCTTCCCTAAAACAGTTGATAAAATTGTCTCTCATTGGTAAACAGAACTGAATACCTCCCTTAGCTTCATTCTTCTTTTCACTTACTCCTCTTTAGCCCACTTTTCAGGTCTATGTTTGCAGTGGAAAAAAATAGGATTCCTGCAGGGCAAAAAAATCTGGAGTTCGAAAAGGGAAGAAATATCTTTTCTATTGTAACTTGAACATTTTAAAACCCAGCGAACTATGGAAAAGCAGGAGTTGTGCTGACTGGTTTAAACAAGTTCATGCACTTGCCATTCTTAACTCAAGTAGTAAGGATGTTCGTAAGATGGATTCATTTTACCTCAAGTGATTAAAAAGAGAAGTAGAAGATGCAGGACAAATATTGTACAATTCTTTTACTTAATAATAAGAATAAAATAAATCCAAAGATTTATTTTATTAGCTACTTCTTTCCGATTATTCTTTCTGATTATTCCCTGATATATACTACTGGGGGATAATAAAAAATAAAAGCTGCTTACAACATTAAAGTGATTTTTTTTTTCAATTAGTTCAATTTTGAAATAATTTTCCAAATATATCCTCTTATTGTTGGGTCACATGTTGTATTTCTGTAGGAAGAAATATGCATGTATGGGATATCCCACATAGTCCTGATTGTAATCACATATGTTCTCCTTTACTGCAGAAACCAATATTTCAATAGAAGTATCCAACAATGCCACAAACGTTCTAGAAGGGGAGAGCCTGAGATTTGGTTGCACTGTCCGCTCTGGGTTTAGACCCCAAAACCGATTATCTGTCACTTGGCAACTTGTGGATAAGCAGAACCGTCGCAGTGACATTATACAACTTGACCGGGATGGAACCCTTCGTCCTGGTCCTTCTTATGTCGAGCGCAGTAGCTATGGGGGGATCCAAATGGAGCAGATACGGCCTGGATCCTTCACACTTGAGATCTTTAACAGCATCAAGGCAGATGAGGGCCATTATGAGTGTCGTATTACAGAATGGACACGTAGGCTGGATGGGGAGTGGCAGATGATTGGAGAGCGGCATAATGGCTCAGCAGTAGCTATCACTGCACTAGGTGAGTATAAAAGTGCCACCAGTTAATACATTACAGTCCTCGGCTTAAGTCAGAGGTACCTAATAAACATTCCCCCCAAAACTTTATATTCGGCCTTGGGGTGGTTAAAAATATGCTGTTACATTGTGACTTTCAATGTTTTATAAGGGAATTTAAAAGAGAAATTGATTGCATATATGAAAACTAATATTAACTATGATAATAATTGCTTTGACTTAATACCATTGCAGTGAAATCAAATTTAGTTTTCATTCTTGCACATTCCACTTTTGCAGATTATAGAATAAAGAAAGTAAGATATAAGATTTTGGTAGAGAAATAGAAGTTGGTGCCAATAAAAAAGGGCTGAAGCATATTTAAAATCTGCAAAAGCCAAATAAGATTTGGAAGTAGCTTAGACAGATATTTCCCTAATTCACTGAACTATTAGTAGGCAGAGGAAATACAACATAATTGGAGTTGCAAGATTCTTTTATTGTAGCCAGTCTCAATATAAGCAGTTTTAGCCTCCCTGTGGAGTTGATTTCTTGGATCTGGTCTACCTAGAATGGCTAATAACCTCCAAGAATGCCCCTTAAAGATCAAGAAGGGAGTGAAAAGATAGTTTATTTATTACTGCATTTAAATCCTCCCTTCCTCTAAGGCAGGATGTCGTGGCCCACGGGCTAGATGCATCACATTCTGGCCCCACCCCCGCCTGGTTTAGCAAGGGGGGGGAGAAGTTCCGATATGTCCCGTGTCGCCGCCATGATGACAAGTGTTTGACACCCCTACTCTAAGGAGTTTAAGGCAACATATATAAAAATCTTTCATTTTATTGTTACAACAATAAATGTTTGTCCCCAAATCATTTAGTAACTATACAGGTTGTTAATGTAAAATGCTGTGTTATCATTTTTGCATCATCTGTTTTAATCTTCTGGGGAAAATAACCCGGCAAACCTTCATTTTTCTCTTTTTATGCGCCAAACAATATACATTACTCTTAAATGCTTAAAATAGTTGTTAAAGATAACAAGCTCTGGAGCAAAGAAAAATGTTATAATGACTCGTGGTTCTTTTAAGCACATATATCACAATTGCTAGTGTACATGGGGAAAGATATGGAAATTTGTTTTAAAATAGATAATAGTCTATTTATTCTGGTATGGTTAACCATCTTATTTTCTGTGGCTGATAGGGCCAGGTTTGTTGGTCATGAACTTTCTTGAGTGGTAGTAGAATTCTCCTTGCCATGTGTTGGTGATTATGGACTTTGTGCGAAAATAGTTTCTTATAAATTATTTGAGTGATATTTTCTTGTTTAAAATCTAATAGAATAGAATAGAATAGAATAGAATAGAATAGAATAGAATAGAATAGAATAGAATAGAATAGAATAGAATAGAATAGAATAGCATTCTTTATTGGCCAAGTGTGATTGGACACACAAGAAATTTGTCTGTGGTGCATATGCTCTCAGGGTACATAAAAAGACAAGATACATTTGTCAAGAATCATAAGGTAGTTTCTTTGTCTGAATATTCTTAGGAGATTTTGCATTTCCAAATCAGGCTTATTGCAGGTGTGAAAGGACATAACTCCCAACCCAAGTTTCTCTTGTAATGGTAGGACAGATGATAGAGACAAGTGAGAATTATTAGAAGATACTGATGGTGAATCCTTGTTCCACATGCTGGGTTTCCTTGACCTTAATCTCCAATGCTAAGTTTTGATTCCTAGACAGGCATAGAAAAACTGGGAAGCTGGGCTGTCTGGTATTTGCACAACCTCACAGGGATTATCAGAATTTTAAGTCACCTCCTCCACTTTTTTATCCTGTTTCTTTGTAAGTGCTTGTATTGTTTTGGAATGACTCCAATCTTACTGTGGTGTCCAAAATTAGTTCAGTTGTTAATATTTATAAATCTTCATTACTTGATGGACAACAGAATTGTTCTTCAGTAACTTTTTCTTTTATTTCAGGTAAGCTCATGCTCTGTATCATTTTTCCTGTCATCATTGTTGTTATCATTAATATCTAGCATCTCATTTCTGCCAGTCTTTTTTCCTGTTGCCTTATATTTTTCTCAACTATCAGGGTCTTTTTCAAAGATTTGCTTCTGCATTCTATGGTCGAAAAATTTATGCTTATGCTTCATTGTTGGTGTTTCTAGTCTGTTTTCTGCCTTTACCTTACTTAATATTGGAGGTTTTTTCTTGCTGTCCAATAATTACTGCCATGCTGTATTTTCAACAGATTTCTCCAGAACCAAGTTAAAGAAAACAGTGTTTCTTTATCCAGATTTTCTGATAGTCTGACTTTTGCAACCATTTGTTATGTCTTGAAAGACGTGACTTTAATAACGTATAACTTGGTAGTGTTTTGTACAAATTTTTGTTTTATTTATATCTGTGTAACCTTTGCCCCCAAAAAACAAGTTTTATTTATTTTACTAATATAAAATCATGATTCCTGTGCATTACTGAGACCGGGAACAAAAACTGTTATTTCTACTATTATCTCAGTCCTATGCATTAGGTTGGTTTTGTCTGTTTTTTATACCAAGCATCAGACCATATTTTGCATTCTCATCTTCCATATTCAGCAAAAGATTATGTACGTATTCTTCACATTCAGCTACCAAAATGATAGGCTCAACTTTTCTGAGTTGGTTAAAATTTATTAATTTATTTTATCAATTTTAATTCCAAAAAGTTATCCTCAAATTAAGCATCTTTCCAAAATGTAAGTTTTCTCCTGTGCATGGGAATTATCACGTCTATACTAGGCTATTTTATCAATAAATTACATTTTTTAAAGCTAGCGAGATTGGCTGGCCATTGAGAATATATTCTTTTGCCTAGTGAGGAAGATATTAAGGCAGAGGATAAAAAAAAAATAAACATTGTTAATCTTGTAAAACTCAGATTCCAAGATAGCTGGAGAGGAGAAAGACAGTAGGATATACTATTAAGGATTTTCTAATGAAATGATGCTCTGATTCCTAGAGAGATATAAGGAAATTATTTGCATACCATAGGGTTTTCCAGAAAAATTAAACTCATAACTGGGAGAGAAGCAAATGTTTATGCTTATTTTTCATCTAGCTCTACTTCTGCTGAATGAAGACTGCCTTCTTCAGTTACCACTCAAAGTTATAACAGCACTGAAAAATTAAGTATACAACTGTGAAGGATCACCATTTTTAATCTTCACAACCAGCTTCCAATAAAGCCAATGGGAAAGCTGGCAGGATATTGCAAATTGTGGTCATGTGACCACAATGAGACACGAGAACTACAGCACTGGAACTGGCATAAGTCTGGTGCACTCACTTGACATTGTGCATAGCAACAAAGTTGCCACTCTCACTTGTGGTTTGTAAGGGAGGACTACATGTACTATGTTCTTCCTTGTATAAAGCAAGCAAGCACAATTCCATCAGTAAGCATAAAAAAAAGCAGATATTTCAAAATCTGTGTTTCAGTACAAAGTTAGTGCAAACAGAGGAATTTCCATTTTAAACTTTATTTTTAATTGAGAGGTCTATTAAAAGGTGGTAAAAAGAGAGTTTACTAGATAAGGAAAATTCATTCCTGCAATCTGTTGGGCAAGCATAATTCTTTCACTAACACTTTATAAAACTGATTCTTGGCTTCAGCTGAGGCACTAATGTGTGAAGGAATTTAAGCCTTTTTCTGTACTAAAAAAATGCTTCTTAGGTGTGAGTTTTCAACAATTGCATAAGAAGTTTATGTCCAATATTATTTCTGATTGTCTACTGTAATCAATATAGAAAGAGAAGGAAAATGTTAGTTTTTCATTTAATCTCTTTTTTTACTGTAAATCCTTAAATATATTCCAAAAAGGCTTTAATGCCAAAATTTAACCTATTCTTTTTGTAATTACATAGACTAGACTCTGCTATAATGATGCCCTCAAGGATTAGAATCCTTGAGATACTTGATTGATGTACGTGTACAAAAGTTCTTTTGCAGTTCTGGAACAACATTATAAGAACAAGAAAAAGATAAGATACCCTTTATCTTTTCTTGAACAAGATAACATAACCTTTATCTTATCTCACTTTTTTCTGTGAACACACTGGCACACATTAAAAAATGAAATTCTGATTCTCCAACGCGCAGCTTGGAGAATCCAAAGCTTCGGGTTGTTCAGCAGTTGATAGCCTACACTGAGTGTGTTCCTTTAAGAGATTTCTCTTCAGACACGCCCACTTGCTCAACAGAGTCCCAGTTTAGTTCACTCAGTTGAGCCTGTGACACTGTCTGAATTTTTCTCTATATTTCTCTACTAAACTGTTCCTGAAGCTTTGGATTCTCTTCATAATTTTCTGCATTTTTGTTGGATTAAATTTCTCTCTTCGATTGGTTGGCCAGGGGTGAGTTTTGCCTGCCACCTCAGGCAGGCTGTCTGGGACTTTTTACCTTCTCCGGGACCCTGGCCACTTATCTGAATCCCCGTTCCACTTTATAGCCGCTGGCGTGTGGGTAGGTTTTCCTGGCCTGCCGGTAACACCGCCCCCGCCCCTTGGACTTGATCTCGGACATTAGCGGCTTGGGATAGTTGCCCTGCTCCCAGCGGCACTTTCTCATTTAAATTTGATCTGGTGGCTGGCGCTGGGATCGCTTCTGAACGATCGCGCGCCTGGGAAGCACGGGGACAGCGCCGCAACTTCCCCTTGCCGATACTTCAATCAGCAGCTTCAATTTTAAATCGCAAGCGGCTTTTCTCAGCTCCAGTCGTCCCACGCAGCCCTGGAAGTTCTTCTGAGGCTTCAGCTGCTCTTCTCTATCGTTGGCTTCCCTCCTCGTCCTCTCGCTTGCTGGGCAGCGGCGCTAGGAGCATTTGACATTTTTGCGCCCTTTTTCGCCCACCTCAGCGCTCAGAGCCGCCATTTGTGACAGCTCACGCCAAGTTGCCTGTCCCTCCGGCGAGCCTTCTCTAACCCTCCCTACAGCTGGGCACCTCGCTTCCACCATCAGGGGAGGCGATA